GAGGGCGCCCGAAAGAGGGCACCCCTGTTTTATGCCGCGGGTGATACGGTACCCAGGGAACCTTTTTCCAGCAAAAATGATGAAGGAGTAGAGGTCGGAATACAGCTGGTCAACTGCATGAAGGATAAAATCGGGGATGCCCATGCGTTGCAGCACGTGCTGAATCCACCTGTGGGACAGCGACGGAAACGCCGCTTTCAGGTCCAGCAAGAACAGGCCGGCGAAAGGGCAGTCGTTATAACAAGCGTATTCTAGAAACTTGCCTTCAATATCGAGGATATTGTCGATCAGGTATCTGCCTTTGACGAAGCCTTTTTGCATCGGGTCGGTTGAAAATACTGCCTGCTGTCCCATGGGAACACAGATCGCACTAGCCAAGAGCTTGTTGTCGGTGTTGCTAAGTGTGATCGGCCGAACTTGGCTAGATGGACGGACTAGACTCATGATCGTTTGGAAGAACATCTTTGGGAAGAAACACCGTTTGCCCGTGATTAAACCCCGAAGGCAAGCTGGCTCCTGCGCATAATGCTTGGTATGCTTCAAATATCACTCGGTGAGCGCGCTCTCCTGCGTGTCTCCAACACGAATATGGAATTCCATCAGGGCCACAAGCTGATTCGCGGCGACTAACGACGATCCCTTGGAAGGTCCCGAAGTCGATTTCCCACTCAATACCAGGAGCAGCCCGAGGAATATCTTCAGAAAGCTCGCACAGGATTTCCAGAAATTTCGGGTGACGCCCAGGTCCCTGAGAATGTACCTCGCCCCAATGTGTCGCCAGCGCTTGGGCACTTTCCTCCAGAGAGCCAAGAGGGGAGCCGTCAGGCGCAGAAATGCCGCTCAAGTTGAGACGCCGCCGCTTCGGCGACCAAGATTTCAGACGCTGGTGAAGTCGAGTTCGCTGCTGCTCGACTTCCTGTAAACCGTGCTCAGCGCTAGGCAGCTGCGCGAGATCCTCCAGGATGACCGCGCTGCTGAGCTCATTCAAATGACCATGGAACGCGTTATAGTCGTAATAACTGCAGCTGTCAGAATCAATAAACTTAGCCAACTCGGGATAAGCTTTCATACACTTTTTTACCCAGGAAGAGGATTGGCTCCAGGACGAACCAGGCGAGTGAGCCCGAAGGGCCCGCATGGCTTTTAAACACACAGCGATCTTTTGCTTGTCGGTCAGGACCCCGCCCTTGAACATCCGATGTGTCAGCTCCTCCCTAGCGGCGAAAAAGATGTCCTTCAGCAGGCGCAGCTGTTGAAAGGGGGAGCCGTCGAGGCCTACCTCTTCGATGGGGGATTCAATCAACTGACCGAACTCGGGATGCTCAGAGACCCACCTAGGGATGCTCTGGCTCTTCGAGGACCCAGGAGACAGCAGCAGAAACACAGGAATGTGATCGGACACCTCATCGATGTTGTGTGCGAGACCAATAGTTCCAGATTTGGGGTGCCAGTCTAATATTTCACCGGTGGGGGCATTCGTGTAGATCCTGTCGAGCCGAGCGACCGAGGTGACCACGTTGCGCACTTGAGTCCTGTGGGTGCAGTCCGTCTGCGCAATCTCGCAGAAGGACGGGAAGACGGCGCCGAAGTGCCTGGCCAGAGTGGTGCTCCCTACCGTGGGCTCGCTGCCGTCGAGGGGGATGCGCACATCATCCTCTTCAACAAAGTTGAAATCTCCAGCCAAGAAGGAGAGGCACGTGTTGCTGCTAGGTATACTTCGAGCTGCACGCGACATGAGATCATATTTTGCTTGATGAGGGAGGAGGGGCTCGATGTGTATGTTCATGATCAACATCGTGCCTTTCGCACCCGTCACCCGTACGGAGAAGCATCGCCCTCCACTGATATGGGTGATCTCAGGCTGGCCTTCAAACCAGTTCATCACAGACTTACGTATTGAAATAGTGCAGCCACCACTAGACGAGATAGAGCAGAAGGAGCCGAAGTGGACGTGAGATGGGAAGTCGCGCTCTAGAGAGCTTAAGTCGCCTTCAGAACCGTGAGTTTCCTGACACAGGACAATGTCATACTTGTTGATAAGCTGTGTTATCTTTGCTAGTTTCTTGCTTTGCCGTGCATGTGAGCCGCGCACGCTACCAAACAGAGTGGCCGAATTATATGAAACGATACTTAACTTGTTGCGAATTATGAAAGCTGCACTCTCTTCAGCACCAAATGGAGGAGGAGGCAAGGGAGGAGGAGATCTGCCATCCAGCGGATCTTGTGCGTGGGCACCCATAGCCTGCGAGGCTTCGCCGCGCACGCGATCTGCAAAGCTCGGCGAACAAGAGCCGCCCTCCAGACGGCGACGCGAGAGGGGCGGTGCGAGAGTGGCACAGGATATCTGCTCAGGAATTTCCTACTCAGCCAGCAGCGCCTGGACGCGGTCCGAGAGCCCGTTCGTGAACGATTCCTCCAGACAGAAGTGCTTGAAGCTCTCAGCGTCGACGTCGATCTCGAAGCGTCCGTCACCGTTGCCGATCACCTCCTTCAGTTTGACCATCTCGAATGGGTCGCCGTTCTCCATCAAGTAGAGGATGCCCTGGAACGGGTTGGTGCCGAGTTTCATGGCGGCTGCGTTCCACAACCCCTTGCTCTTCATCTCAGTCTGGATGATGTTGTAGGCGAGTCCCAGCGCGTAGGCTTTGTGCCGCACGGGCAATGGCTGGTCCTTGCCGAGCCGAAGGTCGTGGGTCAGCGAGGTGCGCGGGTCGATCCACCTCATCGTGATGCCCTTGAAGTGGCCCCAGCAGCTGTCGGCTTGGGCCTTGCTCTCGAAGTCGATTGCGTACGAGTACTTGAAGTTCTGGAATTTCGGCGTCACCTTGGATGCCAGCTCAGATGGAAGATTGGACCTGAGGACCGAGTAGCGCGCCTCAAACTGCGTCTGCATCAGCTTGCGCGGGAAGCCTCTGACCCAGAGGCGGCACGGGTTGCTTTCGTCATATGGTCCGGCTGCGGCAGCGCGAGGACGTCGCACTTGGGAGCCAGACGAAGCTGTAGAAGTAAGCGATGGAGGCCGCGAAATTGTCGAGACCTGCGAGCTCAGCGTGGTGACCTGCTCCTGCAGCTTGATGAGGACGTCGGCCTTGTCCGTGGAGATGCCAGAGTTCATGGCGTCTAGCTTGGAGCGGAGTTCGGCGAAGCTTTTGTTGGTGCTCTCCTCGAATAGGGCCATCTTGGCCTCGTTGGCTTGGACTCTTTCGCCAAGCTTCTTGCAATCTGCGAGTCCCTGATCCACGGCGTTGAAACGGGCCATGATCTGAGCTAGAGCATCACCGCTCGCGGCAGGCGAGCCCATGGTTCCAATCGAGAGTTGGGAATTGAAAGGTGCAAACAGGTGCAACCTGGATGCGAGAGAGATGACTCCCACCCACTGAAGGGCCACTGGTCGGGAGTCGGCGAAATCGGTCGGGAAGGCCCTGTGCCTCCCAAAGCAGCTCGAGCTCCCCGTCGGCTGCGACCAAGGTCGAAGCGCCAGGGAAACGTTTCGACCTTGAGCCAAAATGGCTACGGATGATGATGATGATGATGATGGTGATGATGATGATGATGCTGGTGATGCTGATGATGCTGATGCTGTTGGTGATCTGGGGTTGGTTTTGATCCTGCGCGGGGTGCCCAGAGAAAGAAAGAGCCCCACTTAGGACATGGAACAAAAGCACGTATGGGTGAATCAATTATGTCGTCCATCTCCTGCTGGAATCCTCGACCCTCGAGCCCCACGGACCTCGAACACCATTCGGCCCTCGCACTTTGATCCTGGCGCTGTGCCCCTCGCCCTGCCCCTCTAAAGAAGCGCGCCGCCGACCCGCAAAACAAACCGCGGCGGGCCAAGCCGCTGGGGACTGCCAAAAAACGAAGACGCCGTCGTTCGGCTACACGCAATAATGACTCTAGGCAAGAATGGACGTTGGGGCGCGGTTTGATGGGGCTCGCGGGAGGCCAAACCGAAGCGCGTGGGACGCAGCTAACTGTCGTATCGCGTTCAGTCTTATGGGGAGCCCACTGTGCCCGCACCAAAAGTCACTCTGGCCAAAGGTAACTCTTACGTGTCGCCAGGTTGTCCACACCGCACCGCTTACGGGGGACTACGTTTAGGGGGGACCAGCTGAGGAGGCGGGGAACATCGAGCTTGAATCGGCGACAGCTCGGTGATAGGCCCCAAGTACGAAACCCTAACAGTCCTGGGCGGGGTGATGGCCATTGGGGCCGATGCATCCCCCTGAGCCCATCCAACCTGACAATTCCCCCCCAATACGGTGTCGTCGTCGACGGAGACGTCGCCGTCGAATGCGCCCCGTACTCGACGTCGTGATCTCTTCACAGGTGGACCCCTGGGGCGTAACTGGGGACTTATATATTTATTATTGCTTTTCGCTCGTGACTCGACCAACTGGTGTGAAAAACGGCGCCCCAGAAAGTGAGCGGCAGACAGGCGGCATTGTGATATCCAAAAACGTTTGAACATCGCCACATCATGGAAAACACTGATAGGCGGGAGGGCCATGGGCTTACCCTGGACTTGAAAGCGTAACGAGAACGGGCACCGAAACCAAGTAAAAACGCAGATCTTCCAAACAGGAGCAAAAACGACCTCGGCGTTTTTAGAAGCATCTGAATCCTGCAAGGAATCGGACGACAATGCGCATCGGATCCTGCCAACGGGCCACCGACGGGCTGCCGATGGCGGTTCCAGCAAATCTGACGCTCTGGAAAAAAACGACATGGCGAAAAAACGCGACCAGAGCCTTGGACACTATCTTTCTGCGGAAATCTTCCAGCCTGATCGATCAGTGAGGGTAGTACTCGTGCCCAGAACGAGGTAAACCGACCAATCGCCCACACCGCCAGAAGCTGCGGTCCGCCGACAGGTCGCCGACGGGCCCGCAGACGGGCCGTCCAGGGGCCGCCGACGGGCCGCCGGCGTTCCGCCGAAGGGACGCCGAAGGGTCGTCGGAGGGCCACCGAAGGTTCGCCCCCCTGGGCCGCGCCGGTGCCTCCCCGGTGATGTCCGAGAGGGCGCCTCCCTCGCACAACAGCCGCACCGCGGGCAGGCGGCCGCCGCGGGCGGCGAGCGCGAGCGGCGTGAGGCCCTCTGGCCGCGGGAGTCGTCGTCGTCGTTATCGTCGTCGTCGCCGTCGCCGTCGTCGTCGTCGTCGTATACGTCGTCTTCGTCGTCGTCGTATACGTCGTACACGTCGTAAAAGCCGTGCACGTCGATCTCGTACACGTCGAACATGTCGTCGTTGTCGTCGTTTTCGTCGTGCACGTCGACATCGTCGTCGTCCACGTCGCTGTCGTCGTCCAAGATTTCCGATGATATGATGTTTTCAATACTGGCGTGCTTCCTCGCTTACGGCTTCGGGGGCCCGTTGTCTGGCCCCATGGCCGTCAAAAGTGAATCCAAGGCCATCAAACATGGTGAAACACTGGCCCCGGTGAAGGGGTCCGGACCTCTGGGGCCGCGGATTTACCAAATGATTTGGTGGATGTCAGAGGAGGTCCTCGGAGGGTCTTCGCAGATTCTCTGAAGCTTCCACGGGAACGTCGTCGTCGCCCCGCTGGCGGCTGGCTGGTGCTTCGGATACGTTTCGGGGCAGCCCTTGTCTGCGTCGCCTTGCTGGCACCGCCTTCTCCTCTTCCCTCCGCAGCCCTTCTCCTCCTCCTCCTCCTCCTCCTCCTCCTCCTCCTCGTCCCTCTGCCGCAAAGCCTCTCGAGATCTCCGGGGTCTCTGGAGACCTCGTGATAATCCCATCCCTCGTGCTCCTCCTCCTCCTGCGACGCTGGTGACCTGTGAGTCTGTCGAATTCCTCCTCCTGTTCATCACCCTTCTCCCTGCATAGCTACTACAGCCTGCGGGGCACAACGAAGGACGTGAGGGGTGTCCGAAATTTGCGCGGCGGCAGCATCGCGCGGCAGGCAGCGCAGCAGCAACTTCGAGACGAGGAGAGGGCGGGGAGGCGGAAGAGGGGCGGCGCGTACGCATGCACCAACAGTACTTGGCAACGATGATGGTAGCGTCAGCGCGCGCCGTCATCTGGATCCCGTGATGCACAATTCCCCCATCCTCCTTCTCCTCCTCCGCCTTCGCCTCCTCCTCCTCCTCCTCCTTCTCCTCCTCCTGCTTTCTGCTAACTCCCCTGAGCAAGATAGAAGAACTCCTCGTAGTCCCGCGCGGTCACATCTGCGCGAGCTTCCAGAAGATCCCCCAGTACCTCCAGTCAGCAAGAATGCACCAATAGGGATGCCTTGTTTCCTCTTGCCTCCTAGACAACACGAAACGAACACAGACGCCATATCCACACATCACGGCAACCGATACAAATGCCCGTGCAACATTCATGCTGCCTCCGCCTGGGCTCTGGGCATTGCGGACTCGAAAACGGGCGTTCACTACTACAATCCAAACCTCGGTCTCCAAAACTGTCGTTCCGCAACACTGCCACTGTGCTGACCTTCACGGAAGCCATGCCCCAAAATGAAACCGTTACCACGTCCTCCATCAGTGAATCTGGAATCTAGTTACACATGGCAGGAGCCACGACAAAACAAACGATCTATCATCGGTAACAGACCATACATCATTGAGTGGGCACTTTGCTGCCATTGCCACCTATCGTCTCGGAGCTGCAAGCAAGCCGCGCATCGACAGACGTACAAAAACGACGCTGTAATCAAATTCGCTGACCAAACTGGTCAGAGGCGTACCAAGATCTCCGTTCAGAGGTTTACGATAGTCGAGTGCGCATGGCGGCTCATTGGGGGTCTCCAGACGAAAAGTACTTTCAGAGCAGCTGCACGAATCGGTTCCCAACCCAAGTAGCGCTGCAGGCGCGCTCCTAAGTGCCTGCAGGAGAGCCCAAGAGGGTACGACATGACCCAAGAGCGCTCCAAGACGTCCAAAATGGCTGTGACGATCCAAGAAGCCACCAAACAGCTGCAAGAACGTCCCAAAAGGAGCTCCTGGGGCCTGACAACTCAATTCCGCTGATGTTCCTAAAACGTCTGAAATGTGTTTACCCTTCTCGCTGGTGTGGGCTTCAAGCGCTGGAAGACCCGCACGAGGTCTCCAACATCGCTCAACAACTGCCCAGGAGGCCCTCAAGAGGGCCCCAAGACCGCCCCCAGACTGCCCACGAGGCCCCCAAGACGGTCCAAGAGGGCAAGAGGGCCTCGAGAAGGACCGCACAGGGGGAAAACGAACAAACATGTCGAGACCTCTGCCCTGGGACGACCCTCGCCAGAGAAGCCGCAACCAGACCACCAAGAGGCCCCAAGAGGTTCCAAAGATGCTTCCAGAAAAGCCGCCAAGACTCTAAGAAGTCCGAAGACTGACAAGCAATAAAGTATTCCGAACCCTTTTGGAAGTGAGCCTGAAGTTGGAGGGCCAACAACATTAGGGATACGAGGTCTTTCCTGCAGATGTATCAGCCCAAACCGCCCAGAATTTATTTTCCCGATTGCGACCCGATTGCGACAGCGAGGACCTGACTGAGGCCACGTCTTCATCGTTCTGATCGTGTTAGGGGTTCTTTGTTCAAAATGCAAGACTGGCAGGCCCCCGAGAGGCATCCGAAGAAACCTGAATGTGCAGCCCACAAGCCTCTGTGGCAAACCACCGACGCTCAGCGGCGCCGCCCTGGCACCGAGCCCGTTGCGAGACGCTGCAGATCAGGTAATAGAGACAATTGTTACCTAACAGCGAAGACTGATAGGTTTCTAGTGGTCTAAAAAGAGCTCACAGATCACTCCACAGGGGGGTCCGGGCAGGTGTTGGGAGTTGCCGGGCGGGCCTGTGCCGAGCTCGTTTTTCACCAACAGTCACACACTTCGTGCTCTTCGAGTTCCCAGAACTCCATTCCCAGGCTCATTCTGAATAACCGGATGCAACAGTCACACACTTCGTGCTCTTCGAGATCCCAGAACGCCATTCCCGGGCCACATTCTGGAGGGCCGAATGCAACAGTCACACACTTCGTGCTCTTCGAGTTCCCAGAACTCCATTCCCGGGCCACATTCTGGAGGGCCGGATGCAACAGTCACACACTTCGTGCTCTTCGAGTTCCCAGAACTCCATTCCCGGGCCACATTCTGGAGGGCCGGAGCCAACTGTAGGCCACTTCGTGCTCTTCGAGTTCCCAGAACTCCATTCCCGGGCCACATTTTGAATGCCCGGAGCCAACTGTAGGCCACTTCGTGCTCTTCGAGTTCCCAGAACTCCATTCCCGGGCCACATTTTGAATGCCCGGAGCCAACTGTAGGCCACTTCGTGCTCTTCGAGTTCCCAGAACTCCATTCCCGGGCCACATTTTGAATGCCCGTAGCCAACTGTAGGCAACTTCGTGCTCTTCGACTTCCCAGAACTCCCATTCCTGGGCCACATTTTCAGCAGGGGCAAGAGCACGACGAGGAGGAGGACGAGCAAGACCAGGAGGACGAGGACGAGCAGGAGCAGGACGAGGAGCAGGAGGAGCAGGAGAAGAAGGACGAGCAGGAGGAGGAGGAGGACGAGCAGGAGGAGGAGGACGACCAGGAGGAGGAGGACGACCAGGAGAGGAGGAGGAGGAGGAGGAGGGGAGGGGGAGGAGTACCAGGAGGAGGAGGAGGAGGAGGAGGAGGAGGAGGAGGAGGAGGAGGAGGAGGAGGAGGACGAGGACGAGGAGGAGGAGGAGGAGGAGGGGGGGGGAGAGTACCAGGAGGAGGAGAACGAGGACCACCAGGAGGAGGAGGAGGAGGAGGAGGAGGAGGAGGAGGAGGAGGAGGAGAGAACACCAGGAGGAGGAGGACGAGCAAGACGAGGAGGACGAGAACGAGGACGACCAGGAAGAGGAGGAGGAGGAGGAGGAGGGGAGGGGGAGGACTACCAGGAGGAGGAGGAGGAGGAGGAGGAAGAGGAGGAGGAGGACGAGGAGGAGGAGGAGGAGGAGGACGAGGAGGAGGAGGGGGGGGGAGAGCACCAGGAGGAGGAGAACGAGGACCACCAGGAGGAGGAGGAGGAGGAGGAGGAGGAGGAGGAGGAGGAGGAGAGAGCACCAGGAGGAGGAGGACGAGCAAGACGAGGAGGACGAGAACGAGGACGAGCAGGAGGAAGAGGAGGAGGAGGAGGAGGAGGAGGAGCAGGAGAGAGGAGGAGGAGGAGGAGGCAGGCTGAGGCTGAGGCTGTGACTGCGACTGCCGTTGCCGCTGCGACTGTCATCGCGAATGCGACTACGACTGCGAGAACAGCAGAATTCGACAACTGGATTTTCATCTGAATCTTAAGGGGAATGCTTTCAGATATGCTTCTACACATCGCTGTTAGGTTGCTTTGCCGGGATAATTTTGTATTACTTTGGGGTAGCGGCTGTTACCCGGAGGGAGGGGGGGGGCTGGCGGGTAACGGTAACGGCGGCCGCGGCGTGCGCCTGCCAGGATGCGTCCGCGCCATCGGCACATCAATTGCCATACCTGCTGGAAGGAGGGGGGTCCGCCCTCCACCCCCAAAACATACGACCGTTAGCGTTACGTTACCCGGGAGGCGGTGGGTGGGCCCGGGTAACAAGCGTCACCCGCCAGAGGAAAACAACAACGCTCTCATACAGGCAGGCAGCGTGAGCGAGGCGATTGAATACACATAATGGTGCAATGAGGGCTGCGCGAACAGCTCCACGTCGCCGGAAGCAATTCGGTTGCTACTGTTCTGTGTCCGCTTTGCGTTCTCTCTTCGGGCGGGGAAATCAAACGGAACACAATTGACCAAGCATGTGTTGCAGTCGCTGGGGGGCCAGCTTTGAAATCTTCTGGGGTGGCCTAGGAGCCCACCAGAGGAAGGAAGAGAAAAGGAAGAAGGAGGAGCATCGAGAGGAGACAAGGGGGATGCCATGACAGACGTAGACGACCAGGAGAGCAAGCCAGAGGAAAGAGGCAAGAGTTGTGGTCGGGGAACCCCGTCCAGGGAGGGAATCCCCAACGTGTGTTTGCTTGAAGCTGTTGCAGGTTATCGTTGTTGTTCCCCCTCGTTGTTTCCCAAAGGGGGTTGTCCCTCGCGGGGTCGCCTGGTCGACGGGAAGGAGGTTCGCTGCGAGCGCGCCTCGGATGTAAGTGCGGACAAACACGAGGAGTGCAAATGCGCGAGGGACGCGCACTGGCATCTGCTGTTCGGGGTAGTGCGGGCGGCCCTCGAACGGGAATGCCAAGTGCTGCTGCCGCGGGTGCGGCGCACACTAGCAGCGCGCACTCTGGCCAACGCGTTGTCCGAGGGGGCGCCGAATGCAAGACATCGTCAGGTTCCATACATCACCCACGGTTTTGCGCCTCCAGGTCGCGCCGTGCCCGCCGCTGCAAAACCCGCCTCACCATCGAAGCGTGTCGATCGGATCGCGTGGCGCCTTCTAGCGCGGATCCCGCGCGTAATAATTGCGTCAAAGACCACGTGCGAAACGTCCTCGCCGAAACCAGCACGGCGCAACTTACACTGCGCAGCGCATGCGGTCGACCCCACGGGGCGCATCGCAGCGATCGCGGCGCAAGGGACCGCAGGTCGCCCAGATTGTTTCATTTGGGCCATGCTATCACAATGGGCAGTGGATGTTGGCACGCTGCCCCGCAAGTGCGCGCCCCCCCCCCTGGGCGCTCGCTGGGCGCTGGGCGCCCGCTGGTGGGCGCAGCGGGGCGAATGCTCGTGCCGCGCCCGCGCGGTTGGCAACAGATCGCGTCGTCCTTCTCGTTGGTAAAGTTGCCTCGCAAACACGTGGGCCAACGGGCAACGGGCGCCGCTCCGTCGCCCGACTGGCTACGCCGACGCAGGGGCAACGGAATTCACATCGTTGCCGTGCGGGGCCGCGCCGACGCGCGCGGCAGATGAGGCGGCGGCGTTGCAGCGTGGGCGCGCCCCCAAAATCACCGAAGAGCGCTAATCCAGCGGGGGTGGCTGCGGGGTCATGGCAACTGTGGCGCCGGCGCGAGAGGTCCCTCGCTGGCAAACGATGCCGACGGGGTGAAGAAGGGGGGAGGGGGAGGGGGGGGCATTCGCCCCCGGGCCCCATTCGGTTGCCCAGCAGGCCCAACCCGACGCAGAGGGCAACGGATCGCGCGTCGTTGTCCAATTAGGTAGCGCCGACATAAGGGGCAATGAAGTCTCTTTCGCTCACCATTGGGCGCGCAGGCGCAAGTTCAGGTTTGGGCCCTCGCAAAACGCTGGGCCCCACTTGGTGGCGCGGCGGGCGCGCGATCTTGCCGCGCCTTCGCGAGTGGTCGCTGGTTGCGCGACCATGCTTCATGGGGAAACGCCAAAGCAAGGGGCGACGGGTTTCTCTGACACGCGGCGACGCCGGGGGGGGGGGCGGGCGCAGGGGGGGGCGCGCCGCATTATGCCTCGCTGGCGCACGCGAAGAAAGGATGGTGGTTCGCGGCCCCGTCAACGCCAACATCGGGGGATTCGCGCAGAGCTGGGCCCGCGCATGCGATGCAGCGTGGTGAGTGGACCTGTCGCGCCGACATAGGTGGCACATGATCTGCGGTCGCTGCACATTGAAACGCGCAGATGCGATGGCAAAAGCCCACCGCCACACTGCCGCGCAAGGCCGCGCGGACGCAAATGGCAACGCGCCCGACACCGGTGCAACGCGTGGCTGCGTCGGCACAAGAGGGCAACGAGCGTTTGCTGCGTCGCGCCAAAAAAAAACACCCGCATAAACCCTCGCAGAATGCAGCCGCAACCCCCGCCCCCGAGGCTGTGCAACGCTGCGAAATGTCGCACGGCGCACATGAACTTGGTAAATGGTTCGCTGCGCTGCCCCGAATGCGCCGCTCTTGTGCAGAAGGGCAATGGTACCAGCGAGTTTGCCCCGTGGGCCTGCGACGACGCGATGGGCGGGAACCTTGGCCTCGTTGCACCATGTGGCTACGGACGCTGCCGACGAAAGGGACAACGGATCCCGCGCTGTTGCCGAGGTGGCCAAGCAAGGTATTTGCAGGACCAAGGGCCAGCAAGTGGCGCCGCGCGGGACGTGGCCTGGCCGCGCCGACGCGGAAGCAGCGCGGCCTACTAGCAGCTAGCAGCTGCCAAGCTGGGTCGCGACGGCGCACGGAGCTGCGAACTTCCTCGCTGCGCGCAATGACGCGGCGCAAACGCGACGCCGAAAGGACTCGCCCCATGGTCGCACGGCGGCGCCGACGCGGGGAACGCGACCGACCCTGCCGCGCCGATGAAAGGGACATGGGCTCAGCAACGTGTCCCACGCGGTTTGCCGACGCAGAGAGAACTCGGTTAGGCGCCGGTGCTCAATGGGTGCGGTTCCGAAAGGACGGGCGCCGCACGTTGCGTTGACGCACCCGTGCACCGCGCCGACGCAGGGGCAACGGGTGCAATTTCATTGCCCCGTGCGCGACCTGCCCCAAGTCCTCGACTGGCGCTTGGCATCCGCGCGCAACGCAGCGGAGCGAGAAGCCCTTCCGCGCAGACGAACTGGGCAAAGCAGTTTGCTTCGGTGGTTGATGGGCAACACAAGCGCGAACTGCAACTGACGCAGAAAAGGGGGGACGGCCTATGTCGCTGCCCGCTGCAGCAACACCGACGAAACTGCGACAACTCGGCACGCAAAGTGGTCCAAACGACGCACCGCTCGGATCACTCGCACAATGCGGTGGCCCTGCAAGTGGCGCAGCGGGGAAGTGAAGCTAGCCCAGCCGCGCAAACTCGCGGGGCACGACCTGTTGCATTGCGTGCAGCTGCGACCGTGCCGACGCATGGAGCTATGGACTTGCGCTGCCCCATTGAGCTGCGCGGACGCGGGGAAAAGCGGCGACAGACTGCGACTGATCTGCTACATGGCGCAACGTTGCCGCAAAAACGGTGTTGCTTGCATCCCGCTGTCTCGCGAATGGTTCGGTCGCCGCGCAACGTGGAGGATCCGCCGATCGCGAACGAAAGGAGTGGCCGCTTTTGCCTCGCAGCCGCGCCAAGCAAATGAACATGTACCTCTGCCGCGCGTTGCTGCGCCGTCACCAGTGGCAGCGGGCGGCGCGTCGGCGTCGCGCAGGGCTGCGCCAACGCACTCGACTGCGATTTGGATATCACGCTCCTGCTGAAGGAGCCGATGCGCGGGACAACGGGCATAATCCCACCAGCCCTTTGGGCGTCGGTGGTTTAAGGCGTTTTGGTTCTTACCCCTCCCCCTGCCCCCCCTGGACCTGGACGTGGCGCGCCGCGGGTAGTTAGAGCGTCCAAAACGGGCTCGGCGAGGAAACCAAAGTCATTGATTTGACTCGGGTTTGGGCCCCATTTTGGCCTCCCGGGAGGAGACCTTAATTGAGGGGCCCCCTTCGTGGACCGATCTCCTCCAAGATGGCCCCAATAAGCACCCAGGAGGCCCCAAGAGGTCCCAAAATGACCCCAAGATGCCCCCACGAGGCCCCCAAACGGCCCCCAGGAGGCCCCCAAGAAAACCCTAAGCGGCCCCAACAGGCACCGCACCCCGCGAGGCACCCAAGACCCCGAAGAACCCCCAAGGATCGCCAAGAGACCCCCAAGACGTCCCAAGAGGCCACCAAAAATCGCCCAAGAGATACTCCAAGAAGCTCCGAGAGGCATCCAGAAGACCTGTGGCCCTTGTGCGTGCCCTCCTCCTCCTCATGTTCCTCCTTCCTGCTCCTACTCCTTTTCTTCCTCCTCCTCCTGCTCCTCCACCTCCTCCTCATCCTATTCATCCTCTTCCCTCCCACTCCCTCATCCATCCATCCATCCACCTCCTCCTTCTCCTCCTCACTCCTTTGCACGGTTCGGCCGTCCTCCTCTTTGCTGCCGCAATTCCCTGATCACCTCAACTCGCCTAAACATCGCTTCTGGATGGGCTGGTGGGGATACTTTTAATCAGCGGCCGCAGGCGAGCGCGCCAGCGGCGAGTCCAGCCAAAGCGGCGCACGCGGCGACAAATTCACCCAAAGCAACGGGGCGCAGCCAGCCTCACGCAGCACCTCAGCGGCGGACCGGCGAGTGGAGGGGGCTGGCCGAAACTGAGTCGTAAGGCTGGTGGGGGATATTTTTTCGGTCGCGGCCACGAGACGACGGTCAGGCGGCAAGAGCAAAGTCCGGGACGCGAACTAGGCGAATTAGCTAAGACAGGCGCGAGCCGGCCGGCCCACTCAGACAGCAGCTGCGAAGCCGAGGGGCGGTGGTGGGGGATACTTGTTGTTGATTCGCGGCCCGCAAGGAAAAGTCCGTAGGGCGGTAAGAACGAGGCTGGGACACAGCGCGCGGGAAGCAGATAATTAACGGCGCAGCACTGTGCCGGCCAAGAAGCAGCTGAGCGTGTGCCAGCAGCAAAAGAAACGCTGAACATCTGCCAGCGATGAAGCCACAAACCGGCCGCTGATGTGCCAGCGAGGGAAGGGGGGAGCAAAAAAGGCCGGACCCGCTGGTGGAGCCGGACAGCCAGGCGGAAGGGGCCGAGACCACTCACTCACTTGGAACGTCGGCCAGCCCGCACGCATCTGAGGGGAGTGGGGGCCAAAGCCTGGTAAAGGTCGACCACCATGGAAGCGCCAACGAAGGCCCTGGTACCAAGGCAATGTGCGGCTTGTGCATCTCGAAGGCACTCCTGTGACTGCAGCCGACGACTCACACGAGCGCCAGAAAGGTGCCTGACCGACGTCTTTATCTGCCGATGGTGGTGGGGGATACGCGAAGCGTCTAGAATTTGGCATCGCAAATGTCAAATGGCGGCCCGCTCGGGGTCTCGAGTCGCGCTGGGCAACCGCTGCCGGCACAGCGGGGCGAGTAATATTGCAATACCGATGCGAGGGGCGACTGGTTCCGCATCGTGCCAGCGCTGGAGTACGCCCCAAACAGTGCACCAAGAGGCTCCAAAGAGGCTCCAAAGAGACCTCCAACCTCCAATTCTCCTTCTCCCCCACTTGTTCTCCGAAGGGTTTCCGCAACGGCTGATGGAGCACGTAGTCCGATAACTCCGAGCTCTGGCCACAACGTTCGGCCACATAGGCGTTTCCGAAAGGCAGGGTGCGGCGGTGAGTCGCCGTAGGCGTCTTCGATAACTGAACAGGTGTGCCTCGCGGCTGCCAGGGCATTTGTTGAGCCTGGCGGTGATTAGTCGCGTTCAGTCTGTGTAGCAGCCAGGCGGTGGTCCATCTACTCCTCTTTGAGGTTGGCTGTCCACACTTCCTCGTGCGGCGTCACATCTATTTGCGAAGACACTGTTGGAGGCCTCCCAACTTGGAGCCACATATTCGTTCGGAAACTCGCGCAGCATCGTCGATGCGTCGCCGATGCACCGGCGACGTCTGAGAGAAAATCTGAATCCACATCACCCCGCGTCGGAGATGCGGCGCAATCTTCCAACCCCGTCGGCTCTGGTCCCATTTGGGAGGCCTGGAATTGTGCAGATGCTTTGCGGATGTTGCCAAAAGAGGGCAAGCGCCTGCAGCGCTGCATCGCCGCGCTCCGCCCAGTGGTGCAGGCATGTGCGACCATCCTCGCGCGCGCAAGAAAATGGGATCCCTCCGTGAGCAACGCGCGGCAAAAACAATGGAAATCGCTGACCCCGGAAATCCTGCACACGCCAACGCTGACTTTTCTGGGGCGGTAACTGTGTCTCCTGCTAATTTCCACCGACCTTCCGCCAACTACCGCCTTTGCCGCCGCATATCATCATCATCATCATCATCATCATCATCATCATCATCATCATCATCATCATCATCATCATCGTCATCATCATCATCATCATCATCATCATCATCATCATCATCATCATCATCATAATCATCATCATCATCATCATCAGCATCATCAGCATCATCATCATCATCATCATCATCCTCATCCTCATCATCATCAGAATCATCATCCTCCTCCTCCTCCTCCTCATCATCATCCTCATCCTCATCCTCATCCTTATCCTCATCCTCATCATCATCATCATCATCACCACCACCATCATCATCATCATCATCATCATGATCATGATCATGATCATCATCCAGTTCAGCGCTCCATGGCCCCATAGTGAGCCCCACCGAAGGTCCAAGTGCTACCGTCCGCATGCGTCCCGCACATCCATTACACGTTTCGTGGCCCCCGAGGGAGCCCCGCCAAAAGCTCCAGTGGCAGGGTTTCGCATGGCGGCCCCGCATTTTGGCGCACCCCTCACACGGTTCGTGGCCGCATAGGGAGCTCCACGGAAGGCCCCAGTGGCAAGGTTCGTATGGTGGCCCCGCCCCCAGCCGGCGCACCCCTCACACTGTTCGTGGCCCCGCAGGGAGCTCCACCGAAGGCTCCACTGGCAGGGTTCGCACGGCGGCCCCGCATTTCGGCGCACCCCTCACACGGTTCGTGGCCCCACAGGGAGCTCCACGGAAGGCCCCAATGGCAGGGTTCGCACGGCGGCCCCGCCCGATTTTGGCGCACCCCTCGCACGGTTCGTGGCCCCATAGGGAGCCCCATCGAAGGCGCCAGTGACATGGTTCGCATGGCGGCCCCGCCCCATTTTGGCGCCGCAGCGGGCGTCGCGGCAAATCTACACCTGTGGGATTCGAGCCCATGCGGGGAGACCCCATCGGCTTAGCAGGACGACGCCTTAACCGCTCGGCCAAAGTGTCAGTGCCTGCAGAGCACGCACGGACCTGCAAATTTGCAGGGTGCAATCGCCTCGCGTGTGTTGTCTGCACCCCGCTGTCTCCTCGCACCCCCCCAAACCCCATGTTTTGGCGCTCGCCGGCCCCGTGCTCGCAGGCGCAGCGCTGACACGTGCACCTGTGGTCTAGTGGCTATGACGTCAGCCCCGCACGCTGAAGGTCGCCAGCTCGATCGTGACCAGACACAATCGTGCACCACCGCAGGCCACGGTGGCAGGGTTCGCATGACGGCCCCCCACGCTTTGGCGCACCCGTCAAACGGTTCGTGGCCCCATGAAGAGCTCGACCGAAGGCCCCAGTGGAAGGATTCGCATGGCGGCCCCGCCCCATTCCGGCGCACCCCTCACAAGGACCGTGTCCTCGTCGGGAGCTCCACCGAAGGCCCCAGTAGCAAGGTTCGCATGGCGGCCCCGGCCCATTGCGGCGCTCCACTCGCACGGTTCGCGGCCCCATTAGGAGAGCTCCACCGAAGGCGACAGTGGCAGGGTACGCATGGCGGCCACCCCCCAGCCGGTGCACCCCTCACGAGGATCATGGCCCACGAAGAGCTCCACCCAAAGCCCCACTGGCGGGGCACCACGGCGTCCCGATGGTGTCCCGCGGTGCGCCGCCGTGCCTCGTAGTGTCCTGCGGTATCCCTGTGTCCCGTGATGGTTTCGAATGGAATGCCGCGGTGCCCCGCGGTGTCCCGCGGAGTCCCGCCGCGGTGTCCTGATGGTGTCGGATGGCGTCTCGCGGCGCCCCGCGCTGCCCCGCGGTCTCCCGCGGTGCCACGTGAGATCGCTGGTAACGCCTGGTGTTGAGATCAATAGCGAAGCAGACACTTAGACCCACAGTGGAAACGGTGGTGAGACAGTAAGCGGGGTTGGTAGTGAGATCGGCAGTGGGAACGACGCTGAGATCGATAGCGAGATAGATAGTGGAAACCATTGTGAGGCCGATAATGGCATCAATCGTTGGACCGATGGTAACATCTATTTTGAAACCAAAGGCGCGGAAAAAACCGTACCATTGTTAGCGGGGCCGGTTAGCGAGATCGATGGTGAAATCGGCGGCGGGATCGGTAGTGAAGTCGGTAGCGAGGTCGCGTGTGAGATCGGCCGCCGGATCGACATTATTATCGATAGTAAAATCGATGGCGAAGTCGATTATCAGATCGATTGTGCCAACGGTTGTGGGATCGATACTGAGACCAAAGCTGGGAAAAATACGGATGTAGATCAGAAGTCGATAGCAGGATCGACAGTGCGATTGATCCGCGGTACCAGTATTAAGACCGATCGTGAGACTCGTGAGAGCGAAGGTGAGATACGATGAGTGAGACGTTGCCCCCCCCCCCCCCAGGAACCTCCTTATCATTTGACAAAAGTGGCCGCTTATGTACATGGACGCACGTCTCCGCTTCCTGACGCAAGTGGCGTTTCCGGCTGGATCGCGAGTCCGACGTGTCCAGGGCCCTTCGGTAGATCAGGAGACTCGGCGCGGCCCTTGTCGAACAAATGGACGGTCCTAGCTGGGAGGGACACAAGCGCTGCATCCTGCGTGCATGGCCTGGATGTCGAAGGCGACGGTGGGCTCGTAGAAGCGAGCGCCAGGCTGGGCACAGCTGTCGTAGGATACTGACGCACGGCAATCAGCTCCCTCAAGCATCGGCAAAGAATTCGCGCTCCTGGCCAGTCCCGCTGCTATCGCGTAGTAGTATGTCCTGGCGCCATGCGCTGCGACGACGCGTGCTTTGCTGGGGTCAGTCTGGCACCCGAGAACTGCTCGACCTTCTTGTGGTCAAGCACGCAGCCGAACGTGATGGGTGCCTATTCAGCAGAAAGGCGCGCGCGTGTGTATGCATATCAATAAATATACATACGTATACACATATATATATATATATATGTATGCGCGTGTCCGCATGTATCCTTGTGCGCCAACATGGCCATCGCGCCCGCGTTGCCAACGCCAGGATCATCGATGCTGAATCCCAAAACAATGTCTAGCATGGGTGCGGTCGGCCACGTTATCTCTGTTCTCTGCTGCTGCTGCAAATTGTTAACGTTCAAGTGCCATGCGGGCCCGCCGCAGTCCTCCATGGTAATGTTTGGGTGATGGTAATTTACCAAAATTGTCCGCCCCGTAACTGCCGCTGTCCGAAATAATCCTCTTCTTGAGGGCCCCGTTGAGCCGGAGGGAACAACGCGGGCACTTACTCCAAACGGGACTTCTTGAAAGCGGCGCTCACCGTCCAAATATGCGGCCTCGGTCTCTGAAACTAGGAATCAACGCCATCGGGCGTTGAGTCCGCCCACCAAGCGAGCGCTTCAAACAAAACGAATTCGCCCAACGCAGACATAGCTGCGGCCGGAAGGCAAGAGGAGTGCCAATGCGAGCGTCGCTAGTCTTGGCATGCCAGCCAAAAGCGCGCATTCGCAGATCCGGTCTACGTGCTTTCAGCGCGGCCACGGCGTCGTCGTTGCCGAGACCCCTCTCGCCGACGCGATGGCAATTGTTGCATGTTGCACTTCCCGCTATCAATTGTAACGCGCATACTGGGGGATGTCCTTGGCTTGCTTCCGTGATCTCGCATGCGCCGGCGCGCCTGCTTCGTCGCCCGGCGACGTGCAAGGCGACGCGGTTCCTGGGGGGGGGGGATCAAAATCGCACTCAGCTTCCTCCGTAAATCGGCCAAGCATTCTTGGAGACAATATGCAGGAGGTGCCCGGCTGTTCCCGCGCCTGACAATCTCGCCGCGCGCCTGCACCAGGTCTGATCATGTTGCGTCTGGCCGCGCCTGAACCAACTCAGGGTAGAATATCGCGCACCTGGGATTTCTGCGCGATGCGGAATGTCACGTGCATTTCGCGACATTCCTCGCCCATCACGGCGGCGCCAAAGTCCCGGCGGGCCTTCAGACTGGATCGGGGAAAGCGGGCCCACTCGGGCAGGGCGCTCGGCGCGGCATGGCGGCCCGTGGATCGGTGGAAATCTGGTTCGCAGGCACGCGGGATCAGGTGGCGGACTCGCGTCTGCCGCAGGCTCGACCGCGCTGCCACGGTCGGAGCGCGCGGCATTTGCACAGTCCAAGGCTGTCAAAACACTCATCGCGCGAGGCCGCATCGGTCGTCGATGAGCTCCCTGTCGCCCAGTGATTGCTGCAGGCCGCCCGCCCCTCGGCTTTGTTGACGCCGAGGGGGCCAGCGCAATCTTCGGGCACAAATGACGAGGAAGCGTCGCGACCTGAGATCCACGTGTAAAGGTTCGCAAAGCGGCATTCGCCAATGCTGATATTGTGAACCTTATCCCGCGCGAACTCCTCCCTGCGCGCTTCGCGTTCTCACCGGGCCAGCCCGGCGTCGTCGCATCGGAATGCGCGGGGGGCCCAAGAGTGCAATGGGTCGTTGGCGCGGAGATGCCAGGCGCGTCCGAGGCGGCCGCGCCCGACCTGCTGTGCCCGACCAGGCGGCGTTGGTTTCGCGGTTCGAGGTGGCTTGAACAGAGTCCGTACTCCCTGTCACTGTTGCAACAAATGCGGGCGCCGTTCGGTCACGCAGGATCGAGTTCGAACGATCCCTCGAGATATCTGACAGCGAGGCGCCGCGGCCGCGAGCGGCACTTCGGCGTCGACGAACGCGCGACAGAGCTTCTTCGTGCATTGGGCGGCCACGGCTGACCCCTGGCCGCCGACTTGCGCGTGCTCGTGTCGACCAGTTCCCCCGCATTTCAAAAACGGTCGTAGTAAACCCAATCGGGCCTCTGATCTGGCACCCTTGAGATTGCCCGTGCACGGGGGGAGCGCCCGCCTGCAAGATCGATTTCCCAATGTGTACCTGAATCCGAAGCTGCGCCCATTGGCCTGGTCAATGGTGGGCCGCGCCGGCTTCCAATGCTGGCCCTATAATTATTGCAGGATAGCGGTGCCACCAACGACTTGCGCGCGAGGGAAATCAGCCTCGCGACGCTCCTGCCACACGTGCAAATGCGCCTTGCAATCCAAGCGGGATATGGCGCAAGTCTTTCTGCAGCTGGGCAGCAATATGGCACGCCGCGCGTAGCTGGTTGCCAGGCGATGATTCACAGCTCGCTGGACGCGTGGGTCATGGAAATCCAAGAAGGTGGCCATGATGTCTCGTTTCCGCGCGGAAGACAAGCCCTGCGTAAAGCCGCTCGAGGAATGCTTCCTGTTCTCCACCTACCTCTACAATCCATTGATGGCCAACCGACCCCGAATAACAAACAACAAAAAAAATAACACGTTGAACATGTGGGAGTGCTACTGTATTTTCGCGTGTGCATGTCCAGGACGGTGTCCCCGTAGCCGGTACCTGCGTCACTGCCGCGAGAATCTTCAAAACCGGCGTCCAGCATTTTGCGACTTATGCCTTGCTCAGAGACGCTCTGATCACTCCCGTCATCCTCGTTGACATCCCCCATGTGCCTTAGGATTTATATGGCTTGATTCCGGCTACCTTGTCCCGTTGTTGCAATGCCTTGTGTCGCATGCGAGCGTCGATGGGGGTGCTGTCACGTTTCCGTGATCATTGAGAAATTGAATGCTCGCGCGCGCGGCAAACGAAATGAACGCACCATCATCACACATAGTCGGACCGGGGTGAGATACAACATTTCGGATGACGACCTGATGTTTTATTACGTGGCTGCTGGAAGCCATCGGAGTCCTCATCTTTCCTGTAGTGCACGCGCGCGAGGGGGTGTTTGATTCCTGGCGGGAAATCCTCTTCCCATTCGTAACCAATGAGGGGGCTCCTTTGCCAAGGCGTCCTGGGCTATTTGGTTGGTGCTTGCCCACGTTCAGCGATGCTCGTCGGTGGGCCAGATTCCAGTCCAGCACCTTTGGGCCACACCCGACCAACTTGACGAATGGAAGCACTGCATTCGCACATTACCGGCTGTTATCGGATGGAAGTCTGAATGAAATGTTTCGTCAACTCGTCGGGTACTTCTTGCCTCCGCCGGCCGTGTTGTTCGATTGCGTCATGCCAGTCCAACAAGGTCACGATGACAGAACAGCGAAGGCACAACCACGTTCGTGATGTCATTGTCAGTGTAGTTGCGATTTGGATGCGCAAACCGCTTGGCCCTCTGCCTGCGGACTAATACGTGACGCCATCTTGCAGGACACTATGCGTGCATCATCCACGCATGGGTGGCAGATGCCAGAAATGGCCACGAGGGCGAATCTGATGATGTCCACGTTGATTCTGCTCAGAACTCAAAATCTGGCCCCAAAGGCCCCCCAGGAACGCCCCACGAGACCACAAAGACCACTCCAGAACAGCTCCAAACTCGCACAGGATGTCCCCACGATGCTCCCAGTATCCCTCAGGACCCCCCAAGATGAGCCCAGAATGCTCCAGGACATTCGAAGATCTTCCACCAAACAGGTGTGGGACCGATTTCGCACAGAACTGGCACCAGCTCAAACGAACAAACATCATCACATGTTTACAATGCCTGTCAAGACGCGTGTTCGATCTTCTGGCGCGATGCGCTGCCGTCAAACTAATACCAGAAGGAACGATAACTGAGGAAGGAAGGCCCGCGCCGGGGTGCACGAGGAGCGCTGGAGGAACAGCCACGGAGGAACCAAAGGAACAGTGAACCCCTTCCGAATCCGAAGTTGCCCTTACTTACTCGCATTGACTGTGTAGGACTCGAAGGCTACAAGTGTCAATACCGTGGAAGGCCTCTCAGCAGCTGGTGCATTCGAATCAGTCTCCCCAAACTGGAGCATATCAGAAGCCCTGACTCGTGCCGCGGAAGTGTCTGAACTCCGACTTGGAAGGCAGGCTCCCGATTGCAAGGCCGAAGCGCGTAACGAAGCTCAACGTCTGAATGGGTTGACCCTATTCCATTTGC